TCAATATGTTTTCCTTTGGAGCTATTCCCGCCACTATTGATTAAGCTAATTGCTGCTTGATTATCACAATAAATATCAATAGGATCTTTTAACAAATTAAGATCAAGATCAATAAAAAACCGTCTTATCCAGACAGCATGTGTAGTTGCCATACTGCAAGCTATATATTCAGCTTCTTGCGTATATCTAGCGACACATCCTTGTTTCTTGCTACTCCAAGAAACAGCTCCTCCTCCAAAGATAAATAAGTGTCCCGAAGTGGACTTTCCATCATCTTTATCACCTCCGAAATCAGCATCAGAATAACCGAGGAGATCAAGCGAATCAGCTTGATAAACTAATCTATGAGTCAATGTACCTCTGATATACTTCATAATCCTTTTAACAGCTTCCCAATGTGCTGGTCCTGGATTACTTTGATATCTACTGACTAGACTCACAGCATAAGCTATATCAGGTCTGGTGCACAACATTGCATACATCAAGCTTCCAATTGCTTGAGCATAAGGAACATCTAATGGCTTCTGCCCCTCTCCAGGGCTTTGCTCTTTACATAATCTCTTTCCCATAACCAACGGAGTTGGTGCCGGATTGGAATTATCCATTCCAAACCTTTTAAGAACTGATCTTAAATATTTTTCTTGGTTTAAACTTAGCATTCTAGACTTTCTATCTCGAATTATTTGAATTCCAAGAATATATGATGCATCTCCCATGTCTTTCATCTCAAACTTTTCGCTGAGATCTGCCTTGATTTTATTCAACATTTCTATGTCATTTCCAGTGAGCAATATATCATCCACATATAAGGATAATATAGTAAACTTGCTCCCACTTTTCAAGACATATACACAATTATCTAATTTATTTTGAATAAAACCAAGTTTAGTAACTGCATCATGAAATTTGAGATACCATTGTCTAGAAGACTGTTTTAAACCATATAGAGATTTCATTAATTTGTAAACTTTATGTTCCTGTTCTTTCACCTGAAAACCTTCAGGTTGTTGCATATATATTGCTTCCTTCAACTCTCCGTTAAGGAATGCAGTTTTAACATCCATTTGGAATAACTCCAAATCAAGATATGCAACAATAGCCAAAATAATTCTAATGGATGCAAATTTAGCTACAGGAGAATACGTCTCCTGAAAATCTATTCCTGCCTTCTGGTTATAACCTTTGGCAACTAACCGTGCTTTGAATTTATCAATAGATCCATCAACACGATATTTCTTTTTGAGCACCCATTTGCATCCTATGGCTTTCCTATTTTCTGGTAGATCACATAACTCCCATACCTTGTTCTTTTCTATGGAATCAAGTTCTTCTCTCATAGATTCTAGCCATGAAGCTGATTCATGCGATTTCATCGCATCAGAAAAGGTTAAGGGATCTTGTTCTTCTATATTTGTATCTACCGAAAAACAGGATGACTCACATGAATACAAATAGTAATCATCCATCCATGAAGGTTGTGTTCTTGCCCTTTTGTTGCCTACAATCGGTTGATTAGGTACATTATTTTCCATAGGTATTTCATCATTTTCAAGGTTAGGTTCATTCACAATATCAGGGTCATTAGTGGGAACAACACTGTAATAATCATCATCTATTACAGTTAGATGTTTTGTTTCCTCTTGAACTTGTTCCTCTTCCTCTAGATTCTCTAGAAATGTAGCATCTCTGCTTTCAATGGCTCCTTTTTCTTTATTGTAGAACTTATAACCTTTTGACTTTTTTGAATACCCTATGAATCTACACTTTATTGTTTTAAAATCCAACTTATCTCTAAGTTGACATGGAATGAGAACATGGGCTATAGATCCCCACTTCCTGAGATGACTCAAATTAGGTTTCCTCCCATTCCATAATTCATAAGGTGTAGATATAACTGATTTGGTGGGAATTCTATTTAAAATGTAGTTTGCAGTTAACAATGCTTCTCCCCAAAAGTTTTTAGAGAGACCAGAATGAGACAACATGCATCTAACTACATTTAATAATGTTCTGTTCTTTCTTTCAGCAACACCATTTTGTTGTGGCGTATACGGCATTATTGTATGCCTTTTAATTCCATGCTGAATACAATAACTTTCAAATTCTTTAGAATTATATTCTCCACCTCTATCAGTTCTCAAAATTTTAATTTTCAATCCAAGTTGATTTTCAACTTCTGTCTTATATCTCTTAAAGCAGTCAAAAGCTTCTAATTTTCTAGATATAAGATAGACGTGTGCAAACTTGAAATAATCATCTATGAAAGTAATAAAATATTCATTATTACTATGAGTTTTGACACTTAGGGGATCACAAATATCCGAGTGTATCAACCCTAAAAGTTCATTGGCTCTATGTCCGCCAATAAAAGGTTTTCTAGTCATTTTACCAGTTAAATAATGTTCACATGGTGGCAACTGAACATTAGATAGTGCAGGAAGCAAGTTCATTCTGATAATTTCTTTTATTTTTGAAATACTAGCATGTCCTAGTCTAAAATGCCACAATTCAGATTCAGAAATATAACAGGACAAGTAGTTCAAATTCAAATTTTCATTATCAGAATTATTACAAACTACTGGAAGAATGCATAATTCATGCTCGGGCACATATTTTCCCATAGCATACACTTTATTATTCTTGCCTATAGAAACCCTGTTATTGTAGAACCTAACTTTCAGTCCTTTCTTCATCAAGCTGGGAACAGAGATCAGATTGCGCCGAATTCCTGGTGCATAGAACACATCTTTGAGGACAAGAATGCTGTCCCCAAGATCTAATCTATACGAACCAATACCTTCTACATCGAGATAGGTATTGTTTCCCATATAAATTCTCTGTTCTCCTTTCTTCAGCTCGGTGAATTCTATGACTCCATTCTTGTCCTTTGCAATATGTCTAGTCGCACCGGAGTCGATCCACCAACCACTGATATCCGTCATCACAGCATTACATTCCGTCACACCGACGAATTCTCTTTTGCTAGTACCCCCTTGTTCTGGATGCTTATAGCCTCCTTTATTCTCCTGCTTTTCACCTTGTGGGCAATTTGGCTTGAAATGCCCAAATTTCCCACAATTGTAGCAGGCTCCACGGGACACTTTCTTTTTCTTGAACTGCTGTGATTCGGTCCTCGCGGTTGTGGTTTATTAGGACCAGGGTTTTTATAGCTTCCAGTATTATGCCTCTGACGGACATAATTCAGCTCCTGCTGCACCATATTTAGTTCTGGTTCCTTCCTACTGGCTATTAAGTCTTGTTCTATCGCTAGGTGCATAGGAAGATTAGTGACAGACTTAATGGCAGGATTAATTCTCAATGTGGTGGTAGCCACAGCAAGTGAAGGGGGAAGACTATTCAAAATGGTTGCCACTTGCATTCTTTCCGGGATTTCGGTCCCAGCAGTGGATAAGTCCTTAGCCATGACAATCATTTTATTTATATGCTCTACGACATTGTCTCCCTCTTGCATACGACAAGAATTATACTTATGCAAGAGGAGTTGAATGTTAACTTCAGAAGCAGTGTCATATTTTTCTTTTATTGCATTCCACATGTCCATGGAAGTCTTATATGTTTCAAAAACTTTGATTAAGTTATCTTTCATGAACATGAGCATAAGACTTTTCGCTTTTTTGTCTTTCGATTTCCATTGCTCAAACCCTTTCTTTTCTTCAGGTGTTGATTTATCAGTAAGGGTTGGAGCAGTGGTTTCGATTACATCATCAATGTTGTCATGAATAAGAGCATATCCTATTTTTCTATGCCACATATCATAAATGAATAAGAGCATATCCTATTTTTCTATGCCACATATCATAATTACTGTCATTAAATTTATCAATTTTCCCTAGTTCTGATAGAACGAGTTTACTAGCCATTCGGTAAAGAACTAAAACTGATTTTTGTGAGTTGAGAAACGAAGCTCCAATTAAAGCGAGGTCGTCACTTAGCGGTGTTGACCGAAGAATCTGTTGTCGAAGTTTCGACGTCGTTTCTGACTGGATTGGAGATGATCAACTTGAAACAGTCGGGCCAGCAAACAAACACAACACTCAAAAGCCCAAAAAGAAAGCCCAAAATATGTTAATGCAGATGTATTAATAGGAGGGCTCACGAATTTTGATGGGAAAAAAAAACTTGAAGATAGGACTTTTGTAGGCTTGGTGTAGGACAAGAAGGAATAGGGTAGGCTTTATTGTATAGGACAAAAAAATGCTAGCTTGCTAGCTGGATGTGATATAAAAAATGCTAGGTTGCTAGCTTGCTAGCCGCCTTTTGTAGGCTTAGCTTTAAGCTTGTGGATATAGGCTTGCGGCTAGCCTATGAAGAAAGAGTAAAACCGAAAAATAAAGGGAGAGAGAAGGCTATCTTTTAACTGAAGGATATAGGGTGAGCTCCTTTTTTTTTCAACTGGCTAGCTTCTTCTTCTACTTCTTCAACTGAAATCTTCTTCTTCAACCGAGAGCTTCTTCTTCAAGGAGTTGGAGAGAGAGTTTTCTTTGCTGAAAAATAGCAGGATTCCAAGATGATGAAGAACCTTGATCTCTGATACCAGTGATCGAATACAGAGAAGAGAAAAGATGATATCTTTGAAGGGGGCTCCGGTAATGGGTAAGAGGTTTTCTTTTCTTCGTTGTATTTTCTAAAGGAGATCAACCCTCCTTTTATAGGGGCTAACCCCACTATCTCCACCCCTTCAGATCCGCCCCTTAAGAGATATTCTCTTAACTACCTCACGTTTCCACGTTCTTCTCAACTGAGAAACGAACGTTGATTTGGTCACTGAAGACCGATTCAAAGTAACAGCTTGCACTAAATGGTACATCGATAAAAATGTCTTACAGAAATTGATACCGTCATTTCTTCTATACGTCTTCTATACGTCGTAGATATACATCACACAACTGCAGAAGTGAATTGAGAGATTTTAATCATTCTATACAATTTGCAACACCAAATTCACGCGTCATATTAACATGCCCACAGCACACAACGAATATCCTGGAGATCCTTACAGAAATTGATCTCCACACAAATATGCATCATCTCTTCTATAACTGTTATGGATTATTACATAATACAGCAAATATACAACATCATCTGTTCTATAATTGTTATAGATATACATAATACACCAGCGTAACGAAGGAAAAAAGATTTATACAGATAAAGCTAAACTTCGAATGAAGGATCGTCTCTATAGCTGCTGCCGCATATTACCGTGATTATAATATCCACAACATGCTCTTAGAACTTTCCATCTCCATGGAATTTGACCATTTATTTCGAGCTCGTTTCCATGCCAACTACAAGCAAAGCAAGAGCTTAAAGCAAAACTAATTTGCAGTGTTCGTTCAACTGCAGTCCCACATCAGAAAGTATCTTGATCTGATACACCATAACCAATTAATTGACTAATTTGATACGCTATTTCCATCAATTACCATGAGCCCAAGAAGGACGATGGATTTTTTCGAGACTTCTGGCGAAATTGCTTTTTTGTTATGCACCATGCTTCAGAAAAGGTGCTTACCTGCAGTTCATGCAAGTGATTAAAATTTTTCTAAATACAATAAGCAGAATATAAATCACACATATATTATTTGGCACATTGTAAATGCAAATTCAATCCAGGGATCGGCCATGCTTACTTATTAAACAGAAAAGTGCATATTTAAAACAAATGAACAATATATCAAGGTTCAGGTCAACCATGATGTGCTAAAACACCTTTGCTCCTTAGTAGATCCACATCAGCAATCTCAAAGTGTGTTAGAATTGAAGGTAATTTAAAGATGTAGTGCTCTAGTTACTGATAGTACATGTAACTTGTATTTATGCCACACGATGATATCCTATGGTTAGCAGCAGTATGTTCAAAGATTTTCATCGATAGTGTCAGCTTATAATCGCTTATCAACTCCAACCTTTTGTCAAATAACAATTAAGATGACAAGAGTAAACAGTTACGCCCACAGTATAGCACTTTTTGTAGGGCATTACCAATATACGTGTGATATCTCATAAGTATATAGCTACAGTAGTGCACAGATTTTGGAGTACTCGGATAATTCACATGGAAAGTATAAAGTCCTGCATCTTAGAAATTGAATGAAAGTATCTCTTCAATCTTTGTGATAACATGATTGCAGATTTTCCTGGGAATTACTTTGCACGATAGCTGTAAAGACAACAGCTTAAGCATAAATATACCTATTTTCAATAGAGGTTCTTAATTCTGTTTCATTTCTGATGATCAACTAATGCTAATTTATACATCTCATAGTTTTTTTTGGGTGGGACCAACAGTTAGGGTTAAAAATAAATCTCCATGTGCTTACGTTACAGTTAGGGTAAAATAATTATAAAAAAAACTCATAACCTAATTTTTAAATTTTAACCAGTTTTTTTCTTAGTCAAAAAAAAGATCTCATAGGTTCATTAATGTGCTTACATTACTAACAATCTTTGCACCAAACCATGCAGAATCAGCTCCATGTGGAGGGGGAATGACCTTGATCCCTTCAGAGACAGATGAAGGCAGTATTTTCTGCACCTCTTTCTCTAACCTACCTGGAATAATTGAGTATCAAAACAACAAACTTCAGCTCAAGCATCACATCCTCATCAAGTATGAACCAGGTGCAGCATGCATAGATTAACCCGTACATATGTACGTACACACGCTACTTTGCTGTTACTTAAGTATGTAACTCTGACATACCTGGTAATCCAGGTAAGCATGCAGTTCCACCTGCCAAGACTACGGTTTTAAACCATCCATCATCGCCTAATTCTGCTTCAGTACAATGATCCATGCAAAGAGCTAAAGCTCGATGCAGACCCATAGCAAGGCTATAAGGAGAAAAACAGAAAGAAAAGCATAATTGGGAATAAGTTGACAAGGTTTAAAGGTCTGGAATCCAGAAAAGATCTGGCATTTGTTCGCCAATAGTTCAGCATTGAGTTATAAGCAGCAGGATATGACATTTATACATATTTAGACATCTAACCTGATAATAATAAACATACGACAGCAGTAGACCAATGACTAGTGAACGATATTAGGTAATTAGTACATACTGGTTTTGTCCTGCTGTGTGCAATTTAGGATTAATAAATTTTAAATTTTCTCGCTAAACATGTGAATTATTCAAGGACGTCTATTGTTCATGGATAACACTATTAAAGTCCGGTCAACTGAAAAATGTGAATCTGCTCAGTTTCTAAATTTATACTTGAAGAATTGGCAAAACTTTTGAAAATTCACAAAGATTGTAACTATCTCAATGAGATCACACCATTGTAGAAAGAAATGGAAAAATGATCTATCCAAAGAAAATGAAATATATCACCTTATAGCAACAATCATGGTGAAATATTTTTGTTCTCTAGTTAGTTAGCTTTGATCTCATTTACAAAAAAATCATACCCAAGTCACAGGAATAAGATGCAAAATATGAGAACAATTTAATTATAAGCACCATGCAAGATCTTTCTGCTGAGTACAAAGAAATGACAAATCTGAGGTACAATATCTATGAAAGAAAACTTACACCCCTCCAATTTGGGGCTGAAAAAGGAGTTCAGCAGCTTGGAAGCGCTCCTCTGATAAATTGAACAAACCCTCACCAGCAATTTCACATGATGCTCGTGTATCTTTACGTAGCTCTGCATTGTAATCGGCAGCTACATAGCATAATTTCTGGGTAACCACCAATATACATCAGGCTAATGATATGATAATTTCTAAGCTGCAATTATTGCAAAAACACAGACAAAAAACAAAGAAGGTTGCTCTAAGAATAATCTCCAATTTCATTATAGCTAGGATAGTTAATGATTTCAAACATAATAGGTATAAGCCTAGGACAGATAACACTCCAGGTAAACTACTATTAATCATTCTCCCACTTCAATATATACCAATGGGAGTACATAGACTCCTGCCATTGAACAGATAATAACATGCATTATTTGCTGAACGCTTACTACAACAATTTCCCTCGTGACCTCTAAAATTGAGGGGGCATACCTCCTTTACTGCCCGAACAGTGTATAATGACTCAAAATTTATGTTTCTCTGCTGCATTAGCTCCTTGAGATATCCCGTAAGTTTTAAGGCGCCTAGTCCAACAACTTCAACTCCCACATCATGCATTACCCTTCCCTGCATAACTGATAAAATGCAATTCTTTGTAAGATACAAGATGAGGCCATCATCAAACACTTTGTAAGTAATAGATCACACTAAAACATCAAATATGATCTTATTATAGCATCAAATATGATAATTATGTAGACTCATGGATCTCAAGCCTCCTAAGTCAAATTGAACACAAGTATAACTTCTGAGATCAACCCCTGTGTATTGCAGAGGGCTCCATGAATAGTAGGGTTGTGAGATAGATTCGGGTTAATAAACCGTAGTCAAAATAAAATTACTCTCTGATATATCTTTTATCACTTAATAAAGAACCATTTATCTAAAACAAAAACAGCAAGCTTAGTTTACAGTAATAAATGGGCATATTCACCATCTAATTCTAGGAAATGTAAACAATTATGAAGATAATTTATCACTAAAAAACTACACAAAATCCCCTTCTTCCATCTACATCACACAGGCACTTATAATCAGAAACCTAGAAATATCCAGAAAACATAACATTACATGACCATAAGACTCTTTAAGGGCATACAAAAATCTGTGCAATCAACTGCATTAAACTTGTTATTCCTTACAAGACAAACTCTTTCAAATCAACAACTTAGTAAATGATAGAAGTTGTACGCGAATGTTAAAGCACAACTGATCAACGCGTATCTTGCCCTTTCCAACCTAACATATTGTTTACCACTTATGTGAACCTTTGTGCTAATTTACTCGTGCTGAGCACTACATGGGCTTATGAAATCGTTGTATAATATATGCAAATAAGGTTTTTAAAATAAGATAATTTTTTTATTTGATAAAAAAGAGCACAGAAGTCTCCAATCAAATACTGTTATCACATGAAAGTACCATAAATTATTGGATGCCTAATAGAACTTAAACCGCCTTCCAGTGGGAATCATGATAAGATAACATCATAGATTGTTTTAACCAAAGTTACCCAACATAGCAAAAATACGTCTATGAGAACACAACAATAAGGGCGACAAATAAAGAATCAGATCAGAGTCAAGATGTCATAGGATCTGGTTAATCTTTTCCCAACTCAAAGTTCCCTGAATCTGCTCAGTGGCATAAGATTTAATTGAGGGATCTTTTGCAGATATTTTTTGATAGAGCGGATGCTTTCTGATTCAAATATCTACAGTGCCCTTCATGTGCAGTATGAATGAACATAATTTAAGGTACAAAGAATAACTCACTTGGCACAATTGATGTTACATGAAAACCAATGTTCACAACAATTCCAGAAGTACGTCTTGCAGCATACAAAGCTAAAACTGCCTGACATATTTTGATGAAAGAGAAGTGTGGTCAAGACACATGCAGGATAAGCAATGAAACAAGAAAAAAGGCATGTCAGTAATAACCAGAATGTCATTGTACAGAATGTCATTGTATTTTCACAAGCCAGCTAATCATGTTCATACTTAAATCAACTGACATATTACACATATTACTTATCTATGAGAAATTACCCAACGTCTTTATACACATGGCATAAGCTTGTTCACATTAATCACCAAGATGCACACTTCTATGGTGACACTACTAGAGGTATAACTGTAAACACATTGTCAAGAGAGTGAGGATATTTTATTATGTCAGACACATCCTTTGTTTCGTGTAGTAAGATAAATTTGGAAAAATCATGTGTCAGGCTTGTCCAAATGTGATTATGGACATAAGTCATTTTGGTGGTCATTCCTTACTCAGGAATCCAATGTAGATTTGACTAGTTCCCATCCACAGTGATCCAGACCTCCTTCAAGTGAAATTTCAGATATTCAAACATCTTGATAAAGGAGTGGTAAGAGTCTTTCTTTTTCCCCCTTTCATTGAGTTAGTCATCTTTTATTATGTTTTTCTATTATTTAAATCTGATCGAGGCAGAGATTATCTTAGTGTTGGAGTTAAGCTTGATGAGGAATTACATTGAACAAAGTTATATTTAGTTTCCTAATAATGTCAATGTGAACAAGCATTTCTTCAAAAGCATTCTCCAAACATTATGATATCAGAGCTCATACAGACTGAAACATGTTTTACATCTAGTTGAGCTACTCATTTGTCACAGGAATCACTTTCCTTTCTCTATTCTCTGAAGAAATTGACAATGAACATCGAGACTACCATGGTCAGTTAAGAAAGCAGGTTATGAGATTGCACTGTAACTCCCCCATTACATGTCAGGTACCAACTCCACAACCATCACATTTCATTTCTTCCTTGTGAGATTCTACTAGATCCATAGCTCCTGTTTAAGAGCCTCCGCAACCAATTGTTCCATGACCATTTTTATCACCCAAGCTAACACAATATCCACTTTCTCGGCCTGCCAATGCCATTATCAGTCACTAATTCAAGCAATGAGGAAGACTAGTACCTTTGTGCTGATAGCGTCTCCCTTAGAAGAGATTGGATAGTACCTTTGTGCTGATAGCGTCTCCCTTAGAAGAGTTAATCCAATCATACAGAACTTCCACAACATCCTTGGAGTAAAATTTCAGAAATCCAAATAGATTAGGATTTAAGATTTCACTGGAGTCTATCCTTTATTGTTTCACAGTGTTTATCATCTGTCATATGCTATTTTTAGTAGTTATTGCTAGAATATAAAAACATAATCCTCAACCTTCACCATAATTTTAGAGTTTTGATGTAATTTTTAAAGGGACTAACTTAAGATGATGCAACCCAGGTTCAAATCCAACCGGCCATGAATTTAAAGGTTGATTTTCTAAAAATTAGCACTGCTACATGAGTCCAGGTTACAACCCATAAATAGGGTACTCAATCTGCAGGGGCATGTTAGGATATAAAAACATAATTCTCTACCCTCACCATAACTTTAAAGGTTTGATGTAACAGTTAGAGGGACTAATTTAAGAGTTATATTTGAATTTATTAGTCTACATTAATTTTGAAGCCATGCATAGCTCCTGAGGAGCCGCCACCACCAACTATTCTGTGACCATTTCTATCACCCAAGCAGATATAACATCTACTTTCTCCTCTTGCCAATACCGCTATCAATAATTGATTTAGGTGATGAGAAAGACTAGTACCTTTGTGTTGATAATGTCTCCCTTAGAAGAGTTAATCTAATCATACAGAACTTTCATAACATCCTTGAAGTGAAATTTCAGAAATTCAAATAGATTAGAATTTAAGATTCACTGGAGTGTATCCTTTCTTGTTTCACTGTGCTAGTCATCTTTCTTATGCTATTTTTAGTAGTTATGTTTGAATTTATTGGTCTACACTAATGTTAAAGTAATAACTATTATAAACAGGAGGGTTTTGCTAACTATTGTCTTATAGGCAATGGTTAAGTAGGGGAGAGAGAGAGAGATGGGGAGGAGTGAGCCCCTACGTTTCCCACTCTCTCCTCTCTCACCTATCCCTCTCCTAATTAATGTGAAAAGGTGAGCTGTAGAGGCGCCAGCTAGTAGATTCTGTCAAGATGGATATGCGCCTAAAATGAGAAGATTGCAATCCTGCACATTTAGTTTTTTTCCTTGTATACTTACATTCCTAAAATAAGAGAAACTTGGCAGACAATCATGTGTTCTATAAAGGATAGTCTCTTCTCCTGTAAAAAATAAAAAATAGACATTGAAAAAAAATAAAATAATGGAGGGTGGTTTTGAGGAGTGCGGTGTCATACTGGGATCTGTTATGTTTTTTGACATGGTATTAGAGCCTCACGATGACTTCTCATTCTTCGCCAAAGAAGTCTAGCGACATCATGACTCCTCCTTCTTCACCAAAGAAGTCTAGCGACTCAACCGAAGCAACTACGTTGCTTGAGCGGCTTGCTCAGACTCTTTCGCAACCGCTGCCTCTCAAGACGGAACAACCATCTCGCTCAGGGACAACCGATGACCGAACTCCACCCATCTCGGTGAAACTAACCGGGCATAATTACGGCTTATGGGCGCAGGTAGTTGAGATGCATATTGCAGGCAAGGAGAAATTAGGATACATCAACGGTACTTTACTGGCTCCACCTACAACTGATGAAGGTTATGCAAAATGGTTTGCAGAAGATTCAACTGTCAAAGCCTAGCTTATTGGGTCCATGGATTCTGCCTTAATAGGTAATTTTATACGTTTCCCTTGTGCCAGAGATGTTTGGAAAGCACTTGCTGTAGCTTATTTTGATGGAAAAGATAAGACCCAAGTGTATAACCTTAGGAGAAAAGTAACTCGACTCAAACAGTCGGGTAGACCACTTGAAGAATATTTCAATAACCTACAGTTTTTCTGGCAAGAAATCGATTTTAGGTGTCCCAACCCTATGGAATGTCCAAAAGATATAGAGAAACATAACTCTCTAGTGCAGGAAGAAAGGGTGTATAACTTTCTTGACGGTCTTGATGATCGTCTGGATAGTATACGGACTGAAGTGCTCCGTATAGAGCCATTTCCGTCCATTGAGGAGGCTTTTGCCAGGGTGAGACAAGAGGATGTGCGGCAAAATTATCATCTCGAAAAAGTGGAGAACAACACACCCGTGGCAATGGTGGCAAAGGAGATCGAGGCAAACCTGGTACCCGCGAGAATTGGGCAAACGAAGCCCCGGCCTCCACCTGGAGGATGTACACACTGCGGGGGGATCAAGCATACCAAAGAGACCTGTTTCAAGTTACATGGGTATCCCGACTGGTGGAAGGACCCGAAGAAGAAGAAACAACAAGGCAACGACGCAAGCAAAACCACCATCGCATCAGGTAGCGAAGTTTCGTTGGTTCCTTTGGTAAACGGTGAGAAGGCCTCATCGATAGAAGGTAATTTTTTCTACAAATTTAATAAATGGTCTGAAATTAATTCTCAGAACTGGACCGAATGTATAACTTAAAAAACAAATAGGCTTGGTCACTTGGTTTCCGCTGCCATGATACAGGCTGGGCCTGTTTCCGAAAATCCTAGACCAGATCAAAGCTTGGTCAGTACAAGTTCTGTTTTTTTTCACAAGTAGATCCTACAGAGAAGCATGGATAATTGATTCTGGCGCTTCAGATCACATGACCTTCTGTAAGAATGATATTACAGATAACATAGAACCTAGAAAATGGGAAATTGTAAATGCAAATGGTAAAAGTAGTCCAGTAACTGGTGCTGGAACCGTGCACATATCCCCTTCAATGACCTTGTCGAACACTCTCCTAATTCCTTCATTAACTACAAAATTGTTATCTGTTGGACAAATCTGCGAAGAGCGTAATTGCGTTGTACTAATGTATCCAAAATTTTGTCTTTTTCAGGATATCCTCACGAAGGAGATTATTGGGCGTGGTTCTAAAAGGGGAGGGCTGTATCACTTGGAAGACATAAATGAGGGCAGTGCACTTAGTACTTCTAGTTTGTTTTCAAATGGTAAGAATGTATCACTTGGAAGACATAAATGAGGGCAGTGCACTTAGTACTTCTAGTTTGTTTTCAAATGGTAAGAATAAAGTGCTGATTTGGCACAAACGAGGGCAGTGCACTTAGTACTTCTAGTTTGTTTTCAAATGGTAAGAATAAAGTGCTGATTTGGCACAAACGATTGGGTCATCCATCATTTGGTTATATGAAAAACTTGTTTCCTGAATTGTTTGTGAATTGTGGAAATCATAAATTTGAGTGTGAAACTTGTATCAAGGTAAAGAGCCATAGGGTTTCTTACCCGAAAAGTCTAAATAAGTGTAGTAGTCCGTTTGACTTGGTTCACTCCGATGTTTGGGGTCCGACACCAATTACCTCAAAGACCCAGCATAAGTGGTTTGTGTTATTCACTGACGACTACACCCACATGACTTGGCTTTACTTACTCAAAAATAAAAATGAAGTGATTGATGTGTTCCAAAGTTTCTATAGAATGATATACACACAATTTGGCAAGAAAGTAAAGATGGTCAGAAGTGATAATGGGGGAGAGTTTGTAAATAAGACCCTAAAGGTGTTCTTTAACAATGAAGGGGTTATTCATGAGACATCTTGCGTCGGGACTCCACAACAAAATGGAGTGGCTGAGCGAAAAAACCGACATGTACTAGAAACTGCAAGAGCTCTACTTCTCGAATACAATGTTCCCAAACAGTTCTGGGACGATGCAGTTATGGCAGCAATCTATTTGATTAATAGAATGCCATCCACGGTGTTAAAGTTTCAAACTCCTCTACAAAATCTCTCATCTTTCGTTCCAATTCCCTCAACCTTAACCTTACCTCCAAAAATTTTTGGATGCATTGTGTATGTTCACATTTCAAAAACACAGCGAACCAAACTAGATCTGT